TTGTTTTGCAATTATAAAAAAAAGGTATGTCAGGTCCTTTTTGGGTCTCTCCCGAAACCCCCCCCCCCCCCCCAAAAAAAAAAAAAAAAAAAAACTACATAGTTCTGTATTTGTCTTTAATGTCTTCAATTTAGTTGTTTGTTCGTTTTGGGGGAAAACCTGGGGATTGACGTTAGGCAATTGCTTTGTTGTTGCAGTCACTTCGGTTTAACTCTTCCTCTTTCTGGTTGCCTCAATACAGTTTACCATATTCTTTCCATTGGCGTCGTAAAGCTAAACTCGGTTAAAGCTGTCCAGTTTTGGTTTTTTTGTTGTTTTTTTAATTAATACCACGTTTCTTTAATTAGCCATTATCTGTTTGCTGGCAAGGTTTCAGGCAGCCTACGTTTCTGTGCAAACTCAGTACAGTCATTCTTTCTTTCTCTGGACCGTTTAACTAAGGACTTACTGACTTGCATAAATGTAAATATAAATTTGAATAACTAATTTGGTGCTTTCACTTCTTCCGCATGCAAAACTGAACCGAAAAAGGCCACAATAAAGCAAAACTTAGCTTTGAGGTTGTATTAAAGTGTGAAGGAAATATTATTCTATATAATTGCACGGTCTCTGAAGATTTGAATTATAAAAGCTATTTATCTTTATTACTTCACTTTTTAAAACTCTGATACTGAGGAACTTCCTGTTTGACCAGTGTATTGGCTTACAGAACTAACATTATAGCCATATTCAATTACTTTGTCTTTCAGGTCGTTTCCTTGAATATCCCTACATGAATTAATTTCATTTCCAAATGTTGTGTAAACCTAAATGCTTTGATTTTATCTATGTCTTTAAGGTACCTGGTTGTTTGCAAAACCAATCATGGATACAGACAAAAGAGAGGTTTTAGATGTGCCAGCAACTCAAAATGAAGAGGAGACAGTAATGGAACAAGAGGCAAAACTAGAAGCAATGGAGCAACCCACAGAGCCTGAGAATCCACCAGCTGCTGTGGAAGAGGTTGACCAGCTGGTGGTGAAAAGCCAAGAAACGGAAAAACCAGTTGTGGTAGAAAATGTGACGCAGGAAAATAAAGAAAGCAACATGGAAAAGCCAGAAGAGGAGTCGGTGCCCCACGCAGCGGCACCAGTAGAATCAGCAGAGTCATCAGTAAAGGTCTCTGACCCAGCTGCAGTTTTAGAACAGCAACCTGTGCCAGAGAATATTGCAGAGCCTGTGCAAGTTCAACTGGCAGAGACCACCCCTGGACCAGAGCCAGAGAAACCAGCAGAATCTCTACCACAACAGAAAACTGTACCCAAACTGGCAGAAACTCTACCCGAACCAGCTGTGGAGAAGCCAATTGAAACCCAGCCACCCAGCAAAGAGACAGAACCAGAACAAGCAAAGACTGAGGATAAAATGCCCACCGCAGTGGAGACAAAGATAGAAAAAGAAGCAGTTGCCGAAACGGTTGTGGTAACTGAAGCTTCACCTGAAAAGTTGGCAGCAGCAGCAATGGAGAAAGTGCCATTGGGCGAAAGTGGGGAACCTGCCCCAACCCAGAAGGAACCTGTCAAGTCTGAATCTGCTATTCCTGAGGAACCGACAGTAGAAGCTGAAGCTGTCAAATCTGTGCAGAAAGAACCAGAGCCTCAAAAGGAGGAAGATCCCGTTCCTGCTCCCAACTCGCTGTCTTTTGCCCTCCTGGAACACGAGGAAACGAAAGATGCCCTACGAATTTCTCGCACGCTTATTGTCCTCAGGGGCCTTCCTGGAAGTGGCAAAAGCTTTTTGGCACGCACTATAGCAGATGCCTACAAAGACCAGTGTTCTGTTTTCTGTGCTGATGACCACAACATAAAGCCTGAAAATCCCTCTGCTGAAGGGTACAAAGCTCTGGATGATGCTATAGTGGCTCGCTGCTGTGACGGGGCGGCATCCTCTGTGCTGATCGTGGTGGATGATACCAACCACACCCATGATCGACTTGCCAGCCTGGGAGAGATTGCAGAGGAACACAATCTTGTCGCCATCTTCTTGGAGCCACAAACCGAATGGAGCAGAGACTTGAGTCAGCTGAAAAAGAAGACTGGCCGTGGACTAGAGGAGGCCCACCTGGATGCAATGAAGGGTCCACTCAATGAAACGTCCCTTCCTCTTTATTTCGGCTGGTTTCTTTTCTCCTCAGTACAGGACAAGGTCGGATGCACAGCAATGGACTTCTTGAAAACATTGGACACCCTGGAAGGCTTCAAAAAACACATTGCTGACTGTGAGTGTCAGTAAAACTGGCTTTAAGATTATTATTTTTGGTGTTTTTTTTATTCCAAATAAAATAATTTTTCTCTGAATTTCAGTCACAGAACAACCTGAGAAGGAGGTGGATCTGGAGCAGTACTTTGAGACCAAGGGAATCCTCCACTGCACTACAAAGTTCTGTGACTATGGGAAAGCAGACGGTGCGAGCGAGTATGCAAAGAATCCAGTAAGAAACAACTTTTAACTTCATATAACTGCGAGAAATATTTGTGTTTGGCGTTAATCTTGTGCTACTTTCCTTGTGAATGCTCCAGGTGGTTAAGAAGTGCTACGGCTCTGTGTTCGAGCTGTCGCTGACTGCTCTCTTCGTCACCCCTCGCACCGTTGGTGCCAGAGTGTGCCTCACCGATGAGCAGCTCAAGCTTTGGCCAGCGGATACAGAAAAGGAGTCTGAGGCAGATGTTCCCGGATCCGCGTCTCTGCCTGTTGGAAGCCGTGCCCACATTACGCTGGGTTGTGCGAAGGATGTGGAGCCGGTTCAGACAGGCTTAGATCTGCTCCAAATCCTAACCCTGCCTCAAGGCGAGGTGGTCGAAGAGATGGAGCTCGGCTCGCTGCGATATTACGGTGAAGGAAGGTGGATGCTCGGCCTCAGAGAGCCAATCTGTGCTGCGGCTTGCTTCTCCAGCTTCTACGGACGCAAGGAGCAGGAGGAGCAGCAGCAGCAGTCACCTAAAAAAGAACCAGAAAAGAAAAAGATGAAGAAGTGTGCTATTCTGTAGATGAAAACGGTTGTGTCAGGGGGTGTGGTTGGTGAATTAAAACTTAGGCTTACTTTATGAAAGATTGGTGTTTGTGCAGCATTTAGGGCTTCAGTTATAGCCACCCTAAATCCACAAACGATGTGCCTTTATAATGTTGATTTGCACCACAACCCAAGATGCCTTAGAGTTGGGCACGTTATTGGTTCAGTATTTTGTTTTTTCATCACACTGTCCTGTTAGCTGCAGTTTCTCCTAGGATAGCCTCCTTCCACAGCCCCACACTGTATTTAAAAACCTAGGCTTTCTTCTACATAGGCCAATGTTCACACTAGATACTGATTGCATGCATCGCTGGTTTGTTTTCCATAAATTACTGGATTAATGTGCTAAACATAGCTCTGTTTCCTTTGCTGTAGTTTCATAATTCTACAGTATGTGTGTTTGTGCAGCTTAGGAAGTAATGGTGATTAGCTTCTGGACCAAAGTTGCATATTAAGTGTTAGATTCAATGTCAGTTGTAGGGATTCTTCCTTGTAAATCTCTGGCCTGTGCTTAGCTTCAGAGAGAGAATAATAGATAAAGTTGGCTTTTTTTTCCCAGCAGCTTGCATTTGTTGCTTATGAAATGCTGTGAATCTAAGCCAATGTTTTGCAATCTTTTCTACTGCGCAATCCTCTTTGAAGAGTACTTCCATGTCCTGCTCTTTGGTTTGTAGGCTGTAACTGTAATTTTCCTGAAGTCCTACTTTGTGTAGCTCTTATGAATCACTATTTTTGCACTTGTTTTGTACACTCAATAAAGAGAAACATGCTTTGCTGTAACAGTCTGAGTGCAGTTAATAGATTTTTATGCCTCACACACTGAACAATTTTACCTGCAGATGAAAATTTACTTTGTGCACTTGCAGTTGGAAGAATAAGCCAGCAGATGGCACTAACAAACCGTGGGAAAGAAGCTAGAAGGATTTCTGTTCGAGAAGCTTTTCATACAATATGAAAGTATTTTGGGTACGAGATGTTGTACGTATATTTCCAACTTGCTTCTTCAGACTTTTTTTTTATTTTTTGTATGAGTCCTTGAGTTTTACCTGTGATTCAAGCGCTTAGGTCAATTCTAGGCCAAGGATGTGTCCTACAATACGCTATTGACTTCAGACTTCAATTGCGAAAATTGTAAACGCTTGTGTATGAAGGTAGTGAACAGGTGGCAAAGAAGACCAATCAAACCGAACAGGGTTTTTTTTTGTACGTTATCTTCATGTACTCTGACATTTATGTATTTTTTTTCTGCAGAAGCAATTTAAAATTTTGGAGATTGTAAAAATACTGATTAAAATTTAGGCTATTACCGTAACTTTAATGAAAGAACCAACATCGTAAAGCAAAATCAAACTTTTGAATTATTTCAAAATGTAAAAAAGAATAATTTGATTAATTTGTAAAAGCTAGCATAAAACTCCAATGCAATACATTGAGTTTAATTATTTAGCCTAGAAATAAATTTGGAGAGAAATGTGTATGTAAAATATGTATTTCCATCTAAAAAAAATCTCAATTTTACATCAGAAAGCTTAAATAACTCGTTAATAGCATCCAGGTGGTTCTGATAGTTATGCAGACAGCTAATGAATCCTAAATTTCAATTTCTCTGAAAATTAAGCCGTATAAAGCCATTTAGAAAAAAATAATTATATAATATTGCCATGGCCTGTTCAGAATGCCTTCATCAGCCTTAATAAAGACAAGCAAATTCTGAAAAAGGAGCATAGGGAAAGAATCTCAGCTGTTTAAGTTCCAGTGTAGCTTCCACAGGGATTATATGAGGAGCTGTCGGGATATTTTTAGTTTGTATTAAGAGACACATTTCAAGCATTTAAATTCGTCCGAATTTAAATGCTTGAAATGTGTCTCTTTGTTTAAGGAATCCATTTCCAATAAGCTTCACATTTTGAACCGAATTTCTGAAATTAAAGAAGTTTTCGATAATATTCCAGTTTATTGAAAGACACAAGCTATCAGTTGCGAAATCGAACAATACAAATGTATTGAATCCTAAGATTAAAAATGAAACAAGTGCTTTTATGCCTATTGGTTTTCACGTAATCTACATTTATTTCATGTAAAAGCTCCCAACTAAAATATTTGCGTTGCTATAAAATTTCCTACAGTATGTGAATGCAACAACACAGGCTGGTGGAATGAGCCAATCAGAAGCCAGGAAACCTCAGCTAAGGCTATGAGGAGAGAGGTAGAGGGAGAAAACTGACAACAAGCTTTATTCTCAGACCAGACAGGTTCCTCTGGCGGAGAGTGGAGCAACACTGCTGAGGATCTCCACACGTCCACCCACAGCTCACGACTACAACAGTGAAAGAAAGAAAGCAAGGTAAAACTTTGAACAGTGAAATTTAAATCTGCATTTGCTCTGTATTTCAGTGTCCTTCAAGGTTGTTGTTTTTTTTAAGAAAATACATTAAACCAGATTTAAAGCGAATTTACTTTATGCAGTGTGTGTGTGTGTGTGTGTGTGTGTGTGTGTGTGTGTGTGTTGGCTTTTTGTTTTGTTTGTTTTTGCAAACTAATGAAACAAGTTGATTAAATCAGTTGAAACGGTGCCTGACTCACCCCCCCCCACCCCACCACCACCACCACATAGCTTTCCCTGGACAAGTTTGTTGGGGCATTTCTTTTCTTGAGCATCATTTCTTTTTGTGCATCTTCTCCAACCATCCATCATCCCCGTTTTGAGATACACTATTACTGTCTGCCATTTGTACCTGTGTTATTTTTTTTCCCTCTGACAGCCCAGGTACAGAGAATAAATTGCAAGATGAATGAAAACCCAGTTTTGGATTAAACATCATCCTGGCCTGGAACCCATTCTGTTGGTGACTCTGGAACAACAGCGATCAATAACGAGAGCGGTCCTTGGCTGTCATGTTAATCCATTTAAGAAATGCCTGCCAGAGCTGCAGAGGAGAGGGGACATTTGAGAGTAGGCATCAGGGCTTTCAGCCTAATGAAATGCATAGAAAGAGATGGTTGCCAGCCTTTGGAGCTGCTAATTAGTGCAGCCCTTATAAGTAAGTAAAACATATCTATCGTGATAACATATCTAATGGCCTTGGGAACCTAGTAGGTCAGATTAATCACAGATTTATGGTGAGTAAAAAGGTAAAAAAAATAAATAAATAAAAAAATTCCTGGCAGATTTATCAGATATTGACAGCGACTCCAAAATATGATTATTACAATAGCCTTAACATAATTGTGAAAGTTTAACAGCTGATTTATAACATATGTGACACGGGTTTAGTGACATATAGTAGCATAGGAATTTAGATTTTGTAAACTCAAGCTATACACATAACATATGTATACTTTTTGGTTTATTTCATAAATTGCATTTAGCAGGAAAACAGTGCTGCAGGTTCCCAGATAGAGATAGATGTTTTCAGTCCAACAGAAAATGAAAGCATATGATATTCTTAATATACAAATATACACATCAGTGCAAAGGCACCTCATTTTTACTGAATCGATTAAAGAACTTAAATTGCATATTTCGTCAAAGATTGTATCTGGTTGTTGAATGTACAAGAATCCTTTTTTTAATAGTTTTTTTATGCATTTAATGAATAATTTTAAAAAAATGATTCGTTTTTTTAGCTTTCAGGTCACAGCCTACAGAAGGAAAGCTTGAAGAATAACTAATGTATCCATATTAATTATCGAATTATATAATTTGTTAAATTTAATATAAAGTCAAAGCTGATCCAACCTTGAAGCAATAAGAGTATTTCCAGTGTAATACCTACATATTTTTATGCTGCAAAGTAAACTGGTCGGCGTTTAGGATTCCTAAAAGTATAATTCATGTTGTGTCTGACCTTCACCTTGTTGGGAGACTTAAAATTTTTAATGCTCGACTTCACTGCACGTTCAGCTTTTACGAAATTGAAACTGCAGTGCTGCTATGACGCATGAAGGTTGGAAACTTTATGCCAGCGGTCGAAACGTATGCGCAAAGTTCAAAGGTCACATCTTCACCCGCTCGGCAGTAAAAATTATAGATGCTTTTACTGGTTATTGATTCTGTGTTTCAGTTTGCTTACGTCACAAGCTGAAATAAACAGGGTGCCAAAAGCAACTAATCATAAGTTGTCTGACCTGCATGATTTCAGTGTTGTGGTGTTAAAATGGTTCACGTCAGATCGGCTCGAGCTCTTACAGGGTGGAGATGTGTAGCTGCTGAAGCCTCAGCAGGATGTGACTGTTTAACAGGCAAATATCCACCCATCGCCTCAGCAGCACCAAAAGACCAAACAAAGGCCGGCTGATCACGTTAGATTCCGCTTTAGTAAGTCCATTGTCTGGTTGTTGCCAGATTCATGATGACACAAAGGAAAATATGTAAATAATTTTGTTTTTTTAGCTATGTCTATTCATGCTTTGCGTGTAACAATGAGGTACTGTTACATTTAGATTTCAGATATCTAACTTTACATGCCAGGGAAAACACCTGCACAGCACATGCAGCTGAATAACGATGCAGCAGCTGGACGTTCAATTGGGTTGTTTCGTTTACTAGGAATGTGCGAATGTATGTCTTGGTAAAGGCAAATAGACCATCATTTTTTAACTTTGAACTTTTCAGCATTTCAGAATTTGTTTTGACTGTGACGTTATAAAAGCAAATTGTTTTTTTTTTTTTTTTTTTTTTCAGGAACTAAAATATGATATTTCCAGCCTCTAGCAGGAGCGCACAGACAAACATTTCATGGGTTCTGCTTTAGCGACATGGTGCTTTTTTATGTTAGTTTTGGAATAATTGTTGATGTTAGATTAAATTTGTTTTGTGTTTTTTTTTTTTGTTTTGTTTGTTTGCTCCCTATGCACTGTAAACATTGTTGTAGTAACATCTCTGCAACATCGCATGAACGTCAACAGATTAGGGAATTTGTATCAGCCTGCATCAGATGTGGCTTTTTTCCACAAACAATGTGGGTTTCCAGTGTTTCTGATTCTGCATTTTATTTCACTTTTCTCTCTATTTTTGAGGATTTTATCCCAGACAGAACACATTTTTTGAGCTATATTCCTGCAGTTTTGCTATTAAAAATGTCTGGTAATTCGGACAGAAAAAAAAGACAGGTAACCTCGCA